AGACACCACACAGATGATTATTTCACAGAACGGGTCAGGCTGGAAGGGACCACATCTGGCCCAACTTCCCTGCTCAAGCAGGGTCATCCCAGAGAACATTACACAAGATTGTGTCCAAACAGTTCTTGAATACCTTCAGTGAGGGAGACACCACAAACTCTCTGGAGAATTTGTTCCAGTGCACAGTCATTGCACAGTAAAGAAGTTCTTCCTCATGTTCAGGTGGAACCTCCTGTGCATCAGTTTTTGCCTGTTCCTCTTGTCCTGTTAGCTGGCACTACTAAGCAGAGCCTGGCTCCATTCTCGACACCCTTCTCTCAGATACTGATAGACATTGATGGGTTCCCCTCTCAGTTGTCTCTTCTTGAGGTTGAACAGGCTCAAGTCCCTCAGCCTGTCCTCATATGAGGGATGCTCCAGTCCCTTGATCAACTCCTGCTCCAGGATTTCCTTGTCTTTCTTGTCCTGAGGAACCCAGAACTGGACACAGCACTACAGATGAGGCCTGATCAGAGCTGAATAGAGGGGCAGGATCACCTCCCTCAACCTGCTGGCAATGCTCTTCCCAATGCACCCCAGGATATTGCTGGCCTTCTTGGCCATAAGGGTACTGCTGGATCATGGACAGCTTGTTGTCCACCAGTACCCCAGGTCCTTATCCCCAGAACTGCCTTCCAGCAGGATGGCCTCCAGCCTGTTCTGGTGCTTGGAGTGATTCCTCCCCAGGTGCAGGAATCCGCACTTGCCCTTGTTGAATTTCAGGCAGTTCTTCTCTGCCCATCTCTCCAACCTGTCATGGTCCTTCTGAAGGGCTGCACAGTCCTCTGGGGTATTGGCCACTCCTCCAAGCTCTGTGTCATCAGCAAACTTGCTGAGGAGGCATCTGGCCCTTCATTCAAGTCACTGATGAGTAAGGTGAACAATACTGGGCCCAGTATAGAACCCCGGGGGACACCACTAGGGACAGGCCTCCAACTAGACCCTGTGCCGCTGATTATGACCCTCTGGGATCTGCCATTCAGCCAGTTCTCAATCAACATCACTGTGCGCTCATCCAGCCCATGCTTGTTCAGTTTTCTGTGGGGATGCTGTGAGAGACAGTATGGAAAGCTTTGCTGAAGTTGAGGTAGACGATATACACTGCTCTCCCTTCATTCATCCAGGTAGTTGTTTCCTCACAGAAGGCAATGAGGCTGGTCATATTTCATTCTATTAGTCCAGACAGGAAGGTTCTCACCACAGAATACAAAGATGTATTTGCAGATTCTATTTGCAGATGAATGCTATTACGTGTTTAACCCCGGGGCAATGTTACTATGGCAGTTTAAATCTTGTCTTCTCTGATTTTAACCGGAGGAATTAAAATAACCACGCTCAAATTGCTGCAGTTTCCCATCAGCAATTCATTCTTGTTCAGTTAATGCACTTGAGAGATCCTGTCCCACAGACTGGCAAATGCGCTGGAACTGGAACCGGAAAGGCTCTGCTGCGCTGACAACATGGTGAGGTGTTGACAGGAGCTATCCACGATGCCCAAAGGTACCACTAAGTGCCCAGGTTCCTTTTTGTATTGACCAAGTTTGTTGAAGGTGTCAAGGTGGTCCTTCCAAGGGTATGATAAACACCTTTTCACTCAAAAATCCTTTTCAAAGTGGGAAGCACAACTGATTCCTTGTTGAGAATCCTGAGTCAGGCAATCAAAGCTCAGTACACCGGCAAGGAAGTACACAGAACTATGCAAGGCAGGAGGCTACAAAACAGTATTTCTTCAAGACAGCCAAGAGCAGTATGGCCTCCAAAGCCACTACATACCAAAGTAACATATTGTACAAATAGTACAACAAGGCAAAATATTTAATACATAATTTCAGCTGTACTGCAGACAAGTGAAAATAGGTGTATTATAGATAAACAGAAATGCCCATGGATAACAGCAGTGTTTATCACACTTCTTATATGCTGTGAGGCAAGAGTTGAATTTGCTCCTGGTAGGATTTAGTCCTCAAAGAAAGAATTTTTTGTCTGAAATTACATGCCCTTTTTGAGACATTCAAGTGAACCCTAATGTCCAGAGGTTTATGAGTAAAAAAAAATATCTCACAAACAGCAGCTGTATCAAATGGCTTGAAACCAGTATCTGAAATGTCAGGCACTGAAAAACCTTCCAGCTGATTATGACTAACTGATGCATGTAGCTGTGAGCTAAATGCAGGGAGTGAGGTGGGGGGAAGCCAACAAAGAAACCCACCGAAAACCCCCAGAACTTGCACAGAAGTGCATTATCTCCTTACCATCAGTTTTTTTTCAGGTTAGTACGTAATGCATGATTCAGTAATTCCACATTCTTAAGTGAACTAGGTGACTATTCCATGACTTAGAAGGCTGATCATCAATCCTTTTAAGCTTCTTAGGTTACTCAGAAAGCACTGTGTAACCAGCAATTATTTTTTTTTAAATAATGGAAAAAACATGGAAATACAATAAAAAAATTTACATTTTTCTTTGCAAGGTTATTTTTAAGCTGGAACAGTTCCCCAGTTCCAGCAGTTTGTGTGGCCTGAAAAGGGGTCATAACAGCTACGGGGCAGCAACAAGCAGTTGAGAGCAAAGAACAAGCTCTTGAGCTGGTAATACACTAAAAAAAAATTCTGCACTTTGAGCTGCACTCCACAATAACATCACTTTAATTATAACAGAGGAAATTAGCAAAGGTCACAGGATAAGGAGACTGTCTTGTACCAAAGGAGACTAGGCAGTGCCAACAGATACAGCAAGAAGAGGTCAGACCAAGTCAAGTTCTGGCCTCAAGCACTGCACAAATTCTGACAAAATTAGAATCAGATGAAAACATCACATTGGGTACCAAAGTGCAGTTCAACTAATCAGTCTATAATAATATCATCATGTGTTTGGAAAGCAGCTGAATTTAATGAAACACATCAGAAGCCTACAGGCTACAGAGATGAGCTCTTTGTAAGATGGAAGATATCACACTGATTTTAAGACGAAGTGACAAGAATGGAATATGAAAGGGATAGGTTGTCATCAAGAAGATTACAGTGGTGGGCACATTGCTTATGACAGACAGACAACACAGCAATGGAGAAAAATAAAAGTCTGACTATAAGAAAGGTCAATCTGACTTGGCAGCAAAGCACCAAGGTGATTAGAGAGCATATACATAGGCAGGAGAAATGTCTTGAAGTGGAGGAAATAACTCCAACCAGAAGTGAGGATCACCGTACTGCTTTACACACTTACAGAAACGTTCCAAAATGAAGACAGTACAGTGCAGTCTTTTAGTGACTTAAAGCCTTACTTTATTTTGCCTTTGTAAAATAGGATGCATGCAATGCATTCCTCAAGAGCTAAAACAGAACCCATCATAAAAGCCACTATGCATTTCTAGTCAGCTACCAAAAAGCACATAGCTACTAAGAGAGGGGGGGAAAGTGTCATATATAAGATTTTACTTAATAGATAAGAAAGAGATCCATTACTGAATTTAGCTGAAAGCATGCTTTATGCCAGCTGATCACTAACAGCCACTAAAAAGAGTGTGTGACATCACTCAATTTTGCTTATTGTACACAAAATATATTTGTAATATTGTGAAAAGGATTTGGGTTTGTGTCTTTTTTATACTATTCCTGAATATCAGTGTTCACTTCAGATTAATATCAGACCACACCTGAGTAATTCACAAGTATTACCAAAAGACTTGCTATAAACCATATCAGAAAACAGTATTGAAGCTAAAAGCAGATCCTGAAAGATGAGTTCCCAGCTTGTGTAGGATACAAAGAAAGACAAAGAGCAGTAAGTTGGAAAACTGAAGGGAGAAAAAGGAGAAAAAAGAATCAATTTTGTAAAACAGCTAAGCAAGCAGTTGTATAATTGTAACTCTTCATAGCCTTAATGCTAAAACTCTTCTTACAATACTGATCATGTCAAGAGGTAACTCAGTAATTATTTATCTGCAGTGTTCACACTTGTAGAAAAATTCTTTAAAAACTGAAAAAATATGTATTTTTTCCTTTCATTCTGATTCTCAAGTTAGATTCAGCAGTCAAAATGAACAATTTAATTCAAAGAAAACTCACACAGGACTACAAAAACGTAATATAAAATGTAATTAAGGAGCAGCCCTTCAGGAATTGATGTTTCTGAGAAAAAACACAGAGATTTATACCAAGTACAACTGCTAACTGCTTCCAGTAATTAAAGCATCTAGAGACAAAACATGTTACTAGAGTACCATTTTATATTGTTAGTCTAAATGATTCTCCCTTGACTGTTACAATATAGTTTTATAACCTCTGAAAAATCATCATCTTCTTTATTCTGTATTCTAACCTAACAGGAAACATCACCCAGCAACAGAGAAATTAGATTCTTCTTTTCAAGGCTAGGTTGGATGGGGCTCTGAGCAGCCTGGTGTAGTGGAAGGTGTCCCTGGCCACAGCAGTGGCATTGGAACAAGATAATCTTTGAGGTCCCTTCCAACCCAAACCATTCTATGGTTTCCAGGGGTACCTAATGGAATTAATACTCTGAGTAGGAGAATATAATTTTTATATAGCCCCAGTATCAAATAAAGTTCTTTATTCTCACATACAATTGGATACATAGGGGATGTTTAGATGACTGAGGTTAAATATAACTCCCAAAGCTGGGAAACAGCCAAACCAATAAATGAAAACTGAACTGCTTCCCATGATGAGGATGGTGAAAAGGGGAAAGGAGGGAGGGAGAGAAGCCTGGAATAAGAAGATAATTTAAAATTATTTCATTACAAACTCACTGAAATATGTCAAAGGACAAGAATAAATTCCCGTGTATATTTTTGTGTCAGAATTGGAGGAGACAACTATCTGGATAATGCTTACAGATTGCCTAGGATAATGGCAATTCCTCCTATTTAAATGAATCCCTTCTATTTAAACCAATTAAAATGTTAAAAACAATAGATATGTTGAAAGTATAGGTGACCCTACTAACAAAAGCATAGTATTATTTTTAGAAGTAGGATGGAAGACAAATAAGCATTCACTAATAAGACAGAAAAGTACAGTCACCTTTCTCAGTCACAAAGCACTGCCATTTGGTTGACATTTCATTTGAAAACTATGTCACATAAAACGGTCATATCTGCATTTTAAATGTTACCACTTCTAAAGCAACTGCACTGCTAGAGGCTATGAGTGATTTATACTGTTTGTTATCTACTTCATTTGAATTCTGAAGATTTTATTTTTTATTTCTGTTAGAGAAACTGTTCTTAGAATAACCATACTTTGAAATATAATCCATCTTCTGAATCTCATGGCTACTGTCTGTGCTGAATACCTAAATGAGATACACTTTCATTTTTCCAGATTGTTACATCTTATTAGATAAGACAATAATTTGCAGTAGTAAAAATAACTTCTTTAAGAATAACTTGTTTAAAATTTTATTAAGTCCAGCAGCACAGATGCCATTACAACAGATGTTTTTAATTCAGTCATTAACAAGACATCTGGAAAAATTCCTGGTAAAACAGAGCTCATCTAGAGCTTGTGAATGTGATCATAAACCTAATTAAGGAAACAATCTAACCTACAAATTGTAATCACATTGCAATCATCTGTGGTGCTTAAATTTAAGATAAACAAAATAACAACAGTGCTTAGCTTCTTATATATTCTTATTTTGTTATTGCTTGTCTAAGTGAGTTTTTTCTGCAGGCGGTATCCTTAGAAAACCTTTACTATGCAGAACCTATGGTTCACACTGCAGCCTTTTGCAAGTCTTTGGAGACCTCTCTACCCTCAATTATGTGACATCAGTCAACAGTGAAAATTTACTGGATAAGAGTAACAGACAGGCAGCATGACTGTTTAAACCCCATTTCTTCAGCAAATGTAAAGAAAAAAAAATACAGTATTCTGCCACTCAGACGTTGAGAATAGGAAGACACCACTAGCTCTGAAACCCTGATTTTGTAGAGCTCTTAAATTCTATGCATTATGAACAGTCAAAGAACTTAAGACTCTCAAATTGCTGCATTTATCTCCTCTAGAGATTCTGTCCTTACTATTCCTTCTATTCCCATATGGGTAGGATAAGGAACCACAAAGCAGGTGAAATGGCCCCTCAGTTATCCCACTTCACAGTCCTGAGCAAGAATTGAAACAGTCATCATTTCTCAATTTTGTTAAGCATGGGTGTAATTCCTTTCAGGACTGGAGGAAAATACTGCAGCTGACCAGACAATTAGCAGGACATTATCAACAATTTTTTGTTTAACACACATTACTGCATTTCAGCTATTTAATCTTTGAGACAGCACAGTTTGAAAAATATGTCTTGCCTGTGGCCCAAAAATAATTTAGAGAATAAACACAAAATTTATATTCCCAATAAAAGACTAGGAAACAGAGGGGTAGGTGCTTCCGCCTTGCATCCAATGACATATATTGGATGGATTCACTGTGACATAAAACAAACCCTTGCTATTAAAAAATAATAAACTGACTTTGTGCACGCATTTCTGTCAATACCTCTCACTGCAACTATAATCTCAGGAGACAGAAAAAAGTTACTACACATAAATTTTCACGACTGTGTCTCTTGAAAGCAGTATTTTCTTTTCTTCTTCTTTTTATTACAGTTAATAATTTTTATCCAACTCAAAACTTACATGTATTGAAGAAACTGCTTTTTCTGCATTGCTCAACTCTCACATTCCAGGGGGCAGAGATGGAACACCGTGTCTGGAAAGTCCATGCCAGGCTAGAATAGGAACAGCAACTCCCTTTCACTGGCACAGAAGCAAACCCTGAGAACAAAGACAGAAAGGTATTCATATATATGACATTTTCTTCCTTAAAACATTGGTTTTTGCAAATATATGCACCAGAAGAAAAAACAGTAATTTTCAAAGGGAATCAGACTTGAACATTTGTACTGAAGTGCAAAGCAGAACGTGGAGGAAATATATTGCAATACAAAATGTCACGAGGAGCAGAAGGTTAGAAGAATTCTATGCCTTCGAAAAGTAGAAATATTGTCTTACCAGTAAAACATGCAACAATGTTCCTAGACATAAAAGCGATAAATAAATACATCATAAAATCACGTATGTGCTACGAAAACCACACCTGAAATCGGCCCAATCAACCTGCTCAATATCTTCATTAATGGCCTCAGGGGTGGGGTAGAGACCCAGAGCAAGTCTGCTGATGATACAACACTGAAAGCAGTGGAGATACACCAGAGGGTCCTGCTGATCCTTGACAGGTTGGAGAAATGGGCTGGAATCCCATGACATTCAACAAGGGCAAGTGCAAAGCCCTGCACCTGGGAAGGAACCACATGCACCAACAGATCCTTAACAGCTGGAAAGCAGCGTGGCAGAAAAGGGCTTGGGGGCTCCAGGTGGCCATCAAGTTGACCATGAGCCAGCAATGTGCTCTTGTAGCAAAAGAGGCCAACAGCATCCTAGGCTGTGTTAGTACTGTTGCCAGTGGGTTGAGGGAGGTGATCCTTCCCCTCTAAACAGCACCAGTGGGACACCTAGAGCACTGTGTCTAGTTCTTCCATTACAAGAGAGACTTGGACATAGTGGAGGATTGGACATTAGGAAAAAGTTCTTCACTGGGACAGGTTCACCAAAGAAGTGGTCGCAGCACCAAGCCTGCCAGAGTTCAAAGGGTGTCTGGATGATGCTCTTAGTCACGTGATTTAGGTAATCCTTGGAGGAGCAGGGAGTTGGACTCAAAAATCATTATGGGTTTCTCCCAACTTCAGATATTCCACAAGAAAGTCCAGCAAACGGTCACAGAGATGATTAGGGACTGGGTCATTTCTCATTAAGAGGAAAGTCTGAGAGCTGGGAAGACTCAGTGTGGAGAAAAGCAGGCTCAGGAGAGATCTTATCTATATATATAAATACATGAAGGGAGGGTAAAAAGAAGATTGAGCCAGGCTCTTCTCAATAGTGCCCAGTGATAGGACAAGATGCGTATAATTCAAAACCAGAAAATTCCATAGGAACATATGAAACTTTTTTTTTTATTCTCTACTGAACATGGCCCTGGGTAATCTACTCTACCTGATCCTGTTCTGTGAGGGGAGGGTGAACTAGATGATCTCCAAGCTTCCAACCTCGACTATTCTGTGATTCTGTGAATTTGTGAACTTACTCTGGCACTCCGAAAGGAGAATGTACGTTCCTCATGGCCCTCCAGATTTGATTATTACAAGGAGAGCCAATTACACATGCTGTTATCGTCTCCAGACCAGATTTACTTCAGTTTAGCAAGGTGGTGCAGATAATGCAGAAAGTTTGCTATTCCAGTAGCCAAAGGGAGCGTGTTATAACTGCTAAGGCTCAGGTGCTTACCTGCAACAAGGAAAGCAAGATATACTTTAAATTTTTCACCAGTACGCAGAGTTTGTTCTTCCGAAGTAGGGAATCCATATTTTTCCTACTTAAATCATCAATCAATCCAAAGAGTGTGCACATTCAACGAACTAAAATGGGCTATACTCTCTTGATATCAATTATTCAATGTTATTCAGAAGATGACAATAAAAATTAAAAAAAAATTAAAATCTACTTCTTCCTAAACTACATTTAAATTCATTTCAGCTAGATTCTAAAAACAAAAAATAAGCATGACTTTTGTCACGTTCTGTTACATGTCATGAACATGAACATATGTTCACTGTCAATAAAACAATAATCTTTTTTGAAATCAGGACAGTAGCTCCCTCTAGGCCAATAACAATCAGTTCAGTTAACTGGGATAATGTAGCAGGAAGTTCTAAAAAATTCCTGTCAAAATAGTCTTAAAATGTAAATTTATCATCATTTATATTCACCATTTTATTGCCCATTCACTCAATCTTCAGTAATCCTGCAGGCAATAAAATTCTGACAGATGGCTGGGGCACAAAAGAAAAAGCCGTATGTCAGAAAAACAAGAAGCCAAATAAACACTGCTGTGATAGAAGAAGGTCAGAAGATCTGATCTTGGCTTCACTGCAACCAATGACACATCTCCTAGGATAACAATCATTTGTAAAGTGGGAGCAATTCCTACTTCTAAGACTGGCAGTGAAAGAACTCACTTCTGAGCTGGCAATCAAAACTGCATGGCTAGGAAAGCCCAGGGGAGCTGTGCTGACCATATTCTGCACACTGGGAGAAAAACTGTTTTGGAATCCGAATTGAAGCAGGACAAGAGGGTGCAGGAAGACATGGTAAAAAAACCCCACTCAAACCCACATGATTCCCAAAGTCTAATATACCAAGTGCTGGTATATTTAATAAAGTATACCAACACACTTCTGTACACATACTGCTACCAAGGGAACAGACACTTTGAAAGGAGAGCATTTTAAATGACAGCACACATATCTACCTGAGCTAAGCATGGAACACCAAAGTAACCAAATCAAAAAGAGTTAGAGGATCCCACCTGAGAAGACACAGATGATTTGAATAAACAATTTGGGAGCAGTTGAAGCGTTTTATTTTTCCTGGTCTACCTGCAAGAAATTGTTGGGGTTTTTTAAGGATATACTTGTAACTAGACAATGAAAATGTTTTCCTCTACTAGGGAAACACCACTGGCCTATTTTCCAGCCCCTCTCCCAAATGTTCAGGCTTTAATTGCAGTTTGGCTACAGAATGGGTATTGCTTCATTATAGATTGCCCTTATGAAAAGAGACCGGAAATTCATTAACTACTTAAGATTTTATTTTACTTTTTTTTTTTTTTTTTAAGGTGGGGAACAAGGAATATGCTCTACTGAAAGTAAAAAAAAATTCCTAGCTTCCAGGTGTTCTAACAGAAAGCTTTAATATACTTTTACCAATGTAATCTATTCTTTATTCCCACTTCAGTAGTTTTCCCTGGAAAACACACAGGCATTCATGTAGTTCTTTATGACTTTGTCTGTAACTTAAGTATATACAATCTACTCAGGCTGTGTAGAGGATTGTGAGGCAGGTTCACCAAGATTTATTAGCAGGGTGCATTGCTGGTGGCACTCAGGGACTCTCCAGAGCTGCAGATGATTTTCCCTGTAAGAATTTCCCACTTTCATCAAGATCCTCGTAAACTTCTCACTGGATACATGCAGGCTGGTTGGCTGTTAAGCAGTATGAACACATACCCTAATGGATCCAAAACCAGTCCAGAAGAAAGCAAAGGGAAGAAGAGAATTTTTTTCTGCTCCTGCCAGTTGTTACCCAGCAGAACTCACCAAACGCTACTGGGATTCACAGCTGCAAGATCTTAAAGACAACAGCACAGGAACAAGGGGGGAAATACTGTCCCAAAGGCTCTGCAACAGTGCCAGGGGTGCTGGAGTGAATAGGGACAGAGCTGTTGAAAGGCACAGTGAAGTTATAGAGGGCACTTAGCAATACAAAGACTCAGGTATGCATGGCATTACATTAACTACACCTACACCACCTTAAGTTTGTCCAAACCTCAGTAGCATTCATTGCTTAAACACCCTGTATAATGGAAAAAAACTCAGAAATTTTATCTTAAGAAAGCATGCAAGTGAAAAAAAACAAACTCCAAAGTAACTACAGAACTCAGAAAATGCCACTCAGCATCACAGTGGGGTTGGATCAAGGGTTGGAGTTGATGATCTCGGAGGTCTCTTACAACCCAGTTAATTCTATGATTCTATGTGCACATGGATGAACGTATACATGGATGTATATATGTACACAGGGACGTATGGATGTGTACACGGATGGATGGATGGATGGATGGTAGGATGTGCACGTGGATGGATGCACACATGGATGAACGTACACAGGGATGTAGATACACATGGACTTATGATGAGCACATGGAAGGATGTGCACATGGATGGATGTGCACATGGATGTACGGATGCGCACATGGATGGATGTTGTGCACAAAGGCATATGGATGTACACGTGGAAATATGTACGTGCATATGGATGCATACATGGATATATGTATATACGCACGGACGGATGGACGTGCACACGCAGCGCGCCCCCCTCGATCTGCGGGGCACCGCTCGGGGCCCGGCCTCCTGCAGCGACCACCCGGACCGGGGCGTTGCCAGGGGACAAGGGCCCGCGGGCGGTAACCGCTGCCCTCCCCGCCGCCCCCCCGGCCCCGCGCTTCCCCGTCACCCCATCGCCCCTCCATCCCGCCCAGAGCACACCCCGGCCCCCCGTCACCTCTCCATCCCGCCCGCAGCGCTCCCCAGGCACACGCCCGCCCGGCCGCCACCACTGCCGCCGCCATATTGGCGCCGCCGCCGTTCCCGGCACCGCACTGGGGTGCCCCGCGCGCTGCCTGATTAGAAAGCGCGGCCGGCGGGAGAGCGGCTGGGGATAAACCGGGGCGGGAAGGCAAAAACCGGGGGTGGGAACTCGGCTGAAGCTTTACGGGAACTCTCCCGCCGCTCCGGCCCCGTCCCGCTGGCTCTCGCACCGTAGCGATCCGGCAGGCAACAGGCGAACAGCCCCGAAGGGAAAGCTCGGGGGTGGGTTTTGCTGGAGCAGTGAGAGCTGGAAGGGCAGTTGTGGGAAAACTGGTTTTTCCCCGGTGGTGAGGACATTTACTGCGAGATTGTGTTGGAGGCGAGGGCATTTAGTAGTTTCTTTTTAGCATTTAGCATTTCTTTTCCGTAGGTTCTTTGTGAGGGCGAGGGAAGGGGTGTTTCCTTGAGTGGTGGAGGATAGAGCTTTGGGGTTATAGTCGGTGGGCACTGAGGTCTCTCTTTCAGAAGAGGTTTTTCTCAGGTGCTTCTTTTCCACCCCCCGTTGGCGTCTCATCGTTTGAACAACGGTTTTTAAAGGCTGTTAATGCTTCATCTTCCGGTGCTTGGATTAAATGCCAGCATTAGAGAAGTGTTTAGGTTTGCGGTCTCACTACAGTAGTATTGTTGTTCACAAAAATTGTATTCGCTACCCAGTGTGCAACAAGCCAATAATCACACACTCGCGAGAAACATTGATATTTGTTTCAGAGTTGTGCAAGCCTCGGGGCTCGGTGGTGTTCCACAAATCAAACACACCAAATATCAAAACTTTTTACTATTTATGCATTTTAGCAAACAAAGCAATTAGTGGTCATTTGCAAGTTACCCAGTTCTCTTATTAATTACTATTTTGTCTTCTACTGCTTAATGATTCCCTCACTTCTCAAGCTAATTAGTCCACATGCTCAGTGTTTCTCTTCTTTTGAGATTGGTTTCTTGGGTCAGTGATCTCTGATTCGGTAGTCACAATTTGCCCCTGCCAGAATTACCTTTTACCCGGTCAGACCTGATTCAGCACAGTTGCTGAGTTGGCACTATTAGTTTCTTCCTTTTCTTGGGAGTTCTGCCAGATGTCCTTGTGGCCCATAAATTCTGCATTCTTTGTGTCCCCTCTCAGTGGTACATCTTCCCTCCCAAACTTTGTTAACCTCCCCCTCAGTCTGAGATCACTGAAGCATGTCCAGCCCTAAGCCTTAACTTGGCAATTCTACTGACAAATAATTTGTTTTTCCAACACCTGAACATCACTTAGAGCTTGCTTGTTAGCTGCTCTCTGTTTCATGAATTAAATTTCCTTTCTTGTTGATTAGTCTTGAAAGTATACAAAGATCAAACATCAAAGAACATCCTTTCTTAAGCTAATTTTACATATTCCACATTTTAGAACAGCACCTTTTTCTATGCCTGTACAACTCTGGAATTGTGTTTAGTTCAAAGCCACAAAGCTGAAATCTTGGAGACTGTATTTTCGCACTGTTAAACATGTAATAGACTGTGATAAAAACCTACACCTCTGTCCCTCTGATTTTGAAAGGCTTTGTTGGAAATCTTGCATCAGTGCGTTCACCACTTTCCTGAGCTTTCTGGAATGAATCACAGATTTACAGAATCATTTAGGTTGAATCACAGATGTACACAATCATTTAGGTTGGGAAAGACATCTGAGATCATCAAGTCCAACCTTTGACTGATCACCACCTTGTCAATTAGACCATGGCACTAAGTGGCACATCCAGTCATTCCTTGAACACCTCCAGGGATGGTGACTTCACCACCTCCCTGAGCAGTTCATTTCAATGTTTAACAACCCTTTTCCTGAAGAAATTCCTCCTGATGTCCAGCCTGAAATTCACCTCATGCAGCTTGAGGCTGTGTCCTCCTGTCCTGTCACAGGTTGCCCAGGAGAAGAGACCGACCTCACTTTGCAACAGCCTCCCGTCAGGCAGTTGTAGAGAGTGATGAGGTCTCCCCTGACCCTCCTTTTCTCCAGGCTAAACACCCCCAACTCCTTCAGCTGCTCCTTGTAGGGCTTGTGCTCCAGACCCTTCACCAGCTTCATTGCCTTCCTCTGGACTCGCTCCAGCACCTCAGTGCCCAGAACTGGACACAGCACTCGAGGCTTGGCTTCGCCAGTGCCCAGGTCCTGCTCGCCACGCTATTCCTGATACAGGCCAGGATACCATTGGCCTTCTTGGCTACCTGGGCACACGCTGGCCCATATTTAGCCACTGCTGACCAGCACCCCCAGGTCTTTTTCTGCTAGGCAGCTTTCCAGCCACTCTGCCCCCAGCCTGTAGCCCTGCATGGGGTTGATGTGGCCAAAGTGTAGGACCTGGCACTTGGCCTTACTGAAACTTATACCACTGGCCTTGGCCCATCAATCCAGCCTGTCCAGATCCCTCTGCAGAGCCTTCCTGCCCTCCAGCAGATCAGCACTCCCCCCCAACTTGGTATTGTCTGTGAATTTACTGAGAATGCACTTGATCCCTTGTATCAGAGATTGTTGATATTTTTTGGTCTGTGTTTGGCTCAGCCACCTGCGAAAGTTTTGTTCTTTGTCTGCCAAGTTCACTGATAAACCGGAGCTTCGTCCTTGGAGAGACAGTTTCTTGTACGAACTGTTTTAATTGGTGTTCTGTGATTGGCTCATTGTCTGTAGAGGACATTTGAAGGAGAAACTGAAGAGGAGAAGATGAAGTAAAGCCCCCAGACCCAAATAGGTAAGACTCATTGTGTGAAACAGCGCAAGTGCAAGGGGAATCCCAAAGTTCTCACGCATGCACTGAAGGGGCAGCACTTACATAACAGGGGGGAGGGACTGAAGGCCTCTGTCTGGGCAGTTCTGGCCACACCAGCCCAGGTAGACATCACTGGCTAATGCTCGGGGGTCTGAAGCTTCATGTGAAGGACAGCGTTGCCTTTTGCGGGGACACCCGCTATCTTTGGGAGCCTGCTGACCCTCTGAGGATGAAGCCTCTGCTATGGGGAATTCTGGTTATCCTGGGGTCAGTAAGACAACCTCGTAAAACACACCTGCCTGAGTGGGGGTTTCACTGAGGGCTTAGTTCACTCCTTTCCTGTCTCTCGGGTTCCTGTTTACTTGGACATCTTTTGTAATAAATATTGGGTTCATTGTTGAGCTCTCAGCAGTGTCTTGGTTTTCAATCTCGGCATCCTTTTGAACTCACCCTGTTACATCCCTCCATCCAGATCATCAGTAAAGATAACAAACAGAACTGGGCCCAACACTGATCCCTGAGGGACACTACCAGATGCCAACTGGATGCAGCACCATTCACCACGACTCTTTGGGTCTGGCCATCCAGCTGGTTCTTAACCCAGCAAAGGGTACACCTCTACAAGCCATGGGCTGCAGCTTCCCCAGGCAAATGCTGTGAGAGACACTATCAAAGGCGTTACTGAAATCCAGGTAGGCAACATCTGCAGCCTTTCCCTCCTCCACTAGGAGGGTCACCTGGTCATGAGATCATATTGGTCAAGCAGGACCTGCCATTCCTAAACCCCTGCTGGCTGGGCCTGATCCCCTGATTGTCCTGTATGTGCCTTGTGATCGTACTCAAGATGATCTGCTCCATAACCTTGTCAGGCACTGATGTCAGGCTGACAGACCTGTAGTCCCTTGGAACCTCCTTCTGGCCCCTCCTGTAGATGGGTGCCACACTGGCCAACCTCCAGCCATCTGGACCACCCCGGTTCACCAGGACTGATAATAAATGATGGAGAGTGGCTTTTAGTGAGCTTTTCCGCCAGTACCTGTGGATGAATCTCATCCAGTCCCATAGACTTGTGTCTAAATGCACTTCAGGAACTACTTAGGACCCTAAACTCACTCAAAGCAGGGGTAAGAAGAAGACCTGGCAGTTGAGTGTTGCTGCACACACCCTGTACCCTTTGGTGCAGTTGCCTTAGGGTGGGAACCATCTCCTGCTCAGTGCCTGCACACTGTGGCTATGAGGTGTTATTGTATCTAGGATGAAAAAGCAGAATGCTAGGGAATGAATTCTTGCTTTTTCAGAACAGCGTTCAGGCCAGGGAAAATTTTGCTGGAGAGGCTTCAAGGCAGCATTTTTCCTTCTTATTTTTCTCCTTTCTGTGCAGCAAAGCTGATGGAGTTGTTTGTCTAAATACCCTCTTCTGCAATACAGCCATGTTCATATACTGCATTACCATTCTTCTTCCTGATGGACTAGTTTCAGTATTAAAGACTATGGTGATAACAAATAGCCTAATTTGCATTAGCAGAAGCACACAACCTACGTGTTTGGTATTTGTCATACACTCAACATGTAACACAGTGATTGCTATGTACCTTATGGAACAAAAATTCACTGTGAAGCTGTAAAAAAGAATTTCCTCTAGTGTACTGGCAGACCAGCTGCTGGCAGAAAATTGATGCAAGACATAATCTTTTAAACAGGATTTTTTATCTTATCTTCCGACTGTTTAAATATACCCATTCTCACAGCATTAAGATACCACAGCATATCAGGACATAACCCTGACAGTGTCACTAAGGATAAAACCAATTAGTCTCCCATAAATTCCTGCAGATATTTTCACTGTGGCATTTATTTCCAGTTCTTCCTTTTGGAAGTAATTTTGTCACATAGACAGTTAAGCTCTCTTTTATATTTATGCACTGGATGGTCTTATGGAAATGCCTCTTTCTGCTCATCATTTACCAAAGAGAAAGAATTTACCTTGTACAAATTTGTTGCACAGGCAGTGAAATGACTATTTAGTCCCTGTACCATGTTATACTGGTAAAGCTGGTCAATGCCAGCAGTGTAGGGGGGAGTGTGTCTTGTCTTGTGTCAATGGGAATTGGTTTATGCACTAACCAGTCTTTTATAATGCTGCGTAGATTATGGAGATGGAGAAAAAGCGATATACAGTCCTGAAAGCTTGTTTCTGAAGTTTGTCTTCAAGACCCAACTCAAAGAGGACAAATTTCCTCCTCTGTGAGAG